TAAATTCTAAGGTATGACAAGTGCATAAATAAACTCGGAAACTATGTAGAAAAATAGGTAAAAGTATGTACAATCCTAAAATAAAGGTTTTTTGAAGCAAAATATTGTCGTTATTGTTTTAAAAATAAACGGACTTATAATAATAGACTTATCAAGACTCTTACAAAATGAATCACACACACGATCAACAACGTCATCTATGATGAAAACTTTAGGATACTTGGCAGTTTAAGATACCAAAGTTGCCGTCTCCTTTAAAGTTCTTTCCCATTGGTGGATAGATTTTGATGTCGGAGGATCAACATTCCATTCTGTTCGTACACGTCGCTGAGCACGCGTAACTGACTTAAATTCCGTTAACCAAAGTACGCACTGCATCTTTTGCTGTGGCGTCCGCATCTTTAGTTATGAAGACAGTGTAAAAAGTGTATCGACTGCGATTGTCGAATAATGCGCGCCATGCCGCCGATCGGACAAGACGTAAAATTTCCAATCCACGGACGTACACTTTATTACATTTTAATGAGTAGTTCCGTAATAATAAGTTATAACTTTTAGATGCTTTCAGACAGAACACCCTGTATTTTGCCTCAATTTTTTGTCCATTTGTTTCTCACTTAAAATAATGGAAAACATCTAATTCATCAGTGGAATAGTTTTTTATTTGATTTTAATTAGCATTGCGCTCTGAAGCAGGAGCGAGCTGCTGCTGTAATGTGCCAAACCAATTGTACCAATAGGATTCAAGGTGCCGCACAGTAGGAAATATTTAAAACAACACGATTCCCGTGGTAATGCATGCAGAGTTAGTGAACAGAAATCAAGAATACGGAGATTTGCAGTTTATAATATACTTATTTTGTATAATTTAAAGGTATTTTTTTAACATAAAAAACTAAAAAGCATAAAATATAAGTCTTTCTTCAACATTAATAAAAAATTTAAAAAATTGTGTATGTTTTAATCATATTTATTTAAAAAAAGAAGTAAACACAATGCACAATAAAAGTGTTTCATCAGTACAGTAAAATAAAAATAATAAATATTTTAATGCGAATCTTATCCCTGTATCACTTTATTTCGTATAGCCTTTCAGGGGTATATTTTGTGATTTTCAATTTTGTGCAATTCTGAAAGTTGTTTAACAACAAGAAGAAGGTTGTTTAACAATAACCTTCTTGGTGCACTTAAAATATTTTTCGTTTGAGAAATGATTTGTTTAAATAGGTACGTAGATAGTAAATGAACCTGTTAGATAAGTATATATATATATATATATAAATTCTGGTTTTCATTTAAATAAATTTTCTTTTAAAATTAAAGTCACGATTTTAATGAGCAGCACTGTCTTAGAACCCCTTTTACACCCCATGGACCTAAGATAATTGCAGGTCAATATAGATCCACTGGGGGTCGATAAAGACCACTTTTGGAATCACTGACCAAAGGGATCAGCAAGATCTCCGCCTCAACCAACCCGAGGAGGAAGTGCCACCACAACATGAAATGAAAATGATCAAATACGCGATGATAGTCACTTAGGATGTCTTACAAACTTTTACGTAGATGAGTTCCTCCTTTTTATTTTGCATTTTTCAATTCCTACTATTAGCTCACACTCTCTAAATATTTATTTATCTTGGTGGAATTTTCAATCGTTAATAAAATATATTTTAGAGCGCTCAATTGAGCTGAAATTTTATATGCATGATTATTTTGGATGACAATACAGCAATTTAATTATAATTAATAATAATTAATTGATTAAAATTAATTATTCAAAGAATTACAAATACAGCCAAGTTGGTATCATTTTTAACGACTTAGCGACCATTTTGGAGACTTGAAACAAAACTTGAAAAGGTTTCTTTCTCTCATTTTAAAGCGCTCATTTGAGCTTAAGTTTTTCTATACAACATTGTTTTGGGTAAAAATACCATAATTTAATTATAATTAATTAAAATTAATTGACTGAAACTAATTATTTAAAGAATTACAGATACAGCCACGTTGGTTTCATTTTTAACGATTTGGGTCAAAACTTTAAAAGATATTTTTCCTCACGTTTTAAAGCATTCAGTTGAACTAAAATTTTATAGACACGATTGTTTTGCATGACAAAACGATATTTTAATGATAATTAATAAAGATTAATTACCACTTAATGTTGTGATTCTGTCCTGTTTGATATTTATATGAATGGTAATTATTTAATAAAAAGAAACCAAAATAAAATTTTTCTTTGTTGATCTAAGTAGGAATTGACTTAATTATTTTTATATTACTTGTTTGTAAATCAAATAATAGGTAGAATAGTTTGCAGATAAGTTTAAATGCAAAAACAGTGATTATGGCTTTTAGTTAAGAAAATAATAGTTTATATGAAATAATATTTTTTCAGACAATGGCTTACTTTTTAATTTATGCATTGAATTTACAAATAATACATGTGCATATCATTCTAACGCTCAATTTTTATTTAAGCCAAAAAAGTTGAAATATGGTTAGATTTTTGAATTAAGCTCTTATTTCCACACCTGCGACATTTAAAATCGTAATTTCTACAAAAATTCCACACGTGTCCAAAAAAACAAAATCATTCTTAGTCTGTATTTGCTTCACTCGTACAAGCACAAAATGTTTTCACTGGCTAAAAGCTTTCACGTCGGACAGCTCACTATAAACAAGATAATGATGTGTATAGAAATAAAATATCTCCCCGTTTGTATGTAGATCTGTCTGTAAACAAACCGAGTAATTATTACAAAGAGAAAAAATTGTCGACTAATTTATTTTAATTCAAGGCCTCGGCTTTGAAAAAGAAAACGATTAAGGACTGTATAGATGAATTTTATCTCAGTAAACATTACAAACAATTAAAAAACATTTCAACAAGAATTTTCTTAATTTTTTCAATTCCTACACTTACAGTAGAACGTCGTTTATCCATATCAATTTGGATCGGACACCATTCGGATACGTGATTTTTCGGATAACTGAAAACCGAATGCGCGATCCATACAGTATATGAAACCGGACACTCTATACGAATATTGAAAGTCATCACATGCGGGAGCCGTGCTTGAAGAAAAAGCAAATCAGGCGCAAACTGTGTCGCAGTTTTACCTTTATTGTGGAAAATAATCACTTATTTTTCGTTGTACCAATGCACACCTTCGTTTTTTTGCTACAAGGTGTCTGATTCTCTTGAGCAGCAGTAGATCCGGATATTCAACACTCCGGATAATAAACGTTTGGATAAACGACGCTCTACTGTAGTTCGCTGTCTCACTATATATATATATATATATATACTGCTGGACAATTGCTAAGGACGGATAACACTATCATCCATAGCAACCACAAAATGAAAGGAAGCAAAATGTGGAAAATAAGAATAAGTGCGAGATATTAGTAAGAAGAAGTATGAGTATGCAAATTTTTTTCCACGTCTGTTCATCACGTGATAGCGTTCATAAGAGCTTTAAAGGTTTTGACGCGTGTGGACAGTTGTTGTTTCAAGTCGAAGTTTTACAGGAAAGATTTAATAGACGAACTTAAAATTTTGGCATGTCTTCCCGACATCACATAGATGATTTTATGCGTGGCCGAATTATTGGAAAGATCGAAGAAGGGCGAAAAATAACAGATGTTGTCAGGGAGTTCGACATCGCTCACAGCGTTGTTTCACGGCTGTGGAAGTCATTTAAAACTACTGGAATGTGTAGTAGACGGCACGGGGGAGGTCGTGTTAGAAGTACGACGCCTGCAGAAGACAGATATATCGTCCTATCAGCAAAAAGGAACAGGCGCACCACAGCTCAGCAGGTGGAAAATCAGTTTCTTGCTGCCTCAGGAAAGCAGGTCTCCCGAAAAACTGTTGCCAGACGTTTGAGGGGAGGAGGACTATACGCACGCAGACCTGTTGTAGCACCGTACTGCCCGTTTGCAATGGTGTCGGGAGCATCACAATTGGACTGAACAGGACTGTTCATGCGTACTATTCTCAGATGAGAGTAGGTTCAGTCTGTCATCGGATTATAGACACCAACTGATCTGGCGCGAGAGTGGTACTGCTTATCGTCCAGAAAATATCCAGGAAAAGGACCGATATCCGACATGCAGTATCATGGTGTGGGCCGGCATCATGATCAATGGCCGCACGCGCCTACATGTGGTTGCGAATGGGACTATGACGGGCCAACGATACATTGATGAAGTTCTACTTCCTCATGTTCGTCTTTTCCGTGGTGCTGTCGGGGATAAATTTGTTTTTATGGACGACAACGCAACATGTCATCGAACACTCGCTGTTCAGGATTGTCTAGACAGTGAGGGTATTCAACGTCTCGTATGGCCAGCACGTTCTCCAGATCTAAACCCCATTGAAAATGTGTGGGATGCTTTGGGGATCAAAAGCTGCTGGATAATGTTGTGCAAAGTATGGTACGACGTGTGGAATGTTGCATCACACTCCACGGTTTACATATCCCGTACTGATACCTTTCTTTAAGGTGCCTGCTGACTTTTAGATGCATTGTTCTATTTCTCCGTACGCAGATCAAATGAACATTTTTTTCTTTCAGATGTTTCACAGCTTTTGTACTTTCCAGGACAATAAATATTCTTTATTCTAATGTCTGAACAGTGTGGCAACTATATTTTATCCTACTAGGCCTCATGTCTCGCTTAATGTTATGCTACATAGCAATTTGTGATCCGTCCTTAGCAATTGTCCAGCAGTGTATATATATATATATATATATATATATATATATATATATATATATATATCCAAAGTTTCAATCGTTAATAAAATGCTTTCTATTCATCCAATTCTATAGTTCACATGCATTTTTTTAAACGTATAGTGGATGACACTTGATGTTACTGCTGTTTTTCAAATATCTGTTCATTCATTAAATTAAAAAAATGAATAAATAGTAATAAGCAAATATAATAGTCCATCAGCATATATAAAAAGGAAAATTGCTCCTTGTGTCCCTGTAGAGCAATGGACAGCGCGCGTTGGACTTTTAATTCAAAGGTCGTGGTTTCGAATCCCACGGGGGATACTTTAATTTCTGAGAATGCGATTTCTTTTTTACTATACTATTTCATTAGAATAATTTAATTTAATTAATGAATAAATAGAAACAAACAAAAATGTAATAGCAACCCATATATAGAATGGAAAATCGCTTTCTATTTTGTCACTTAATATTGTTATTCTGTCATATGTATATACATATTTATATATTAATTGTAACTATTTAATAAAAAGTAACTAAAATGAAAAATTTTTCTTTCTTGACTTAAGTAGGAATTGACTCCTTTTTTTAATATTATTTGTTTATCATCATTTCCTCGATTGATTTATTAATTGATTGGTTGTAAGGGATGTACATTTTCAAATAAATCTAAAGCAATATCGCAATATCTGTAAAAATAAGGGTATTGGTAGTGTTAAGTGCAGGTTGGCTACATTGACACTTCTTTGGCACGAGTTTTGTGGCCGCGGTAGCCGAGTGGTATAGGTATCGGACCGTGGCTTGCTTTGTCACGGGTTCGAGCCCAGTACCACTAAAGACCCGCCGTGTAGGGCAGCGATGCACGTTAAATCTGTCGAGAGCTGAAACGTCCTCCCGTTGGTGTGGTGTGGTAGTTAGGAGAGGGGGTGCCAGCTCAGGTGTCGTCCACGTCACTTGACCATGGTTCAAAATTACGTGGTCCGTCGCCAAAAGCCCTCGTGTAGCTGAACAATGCGACGTTAATATTCAATCAATCAATTGGCGCGAGTTTTGAAACATTGCCAAACTCTTCCAAGGGTTAAAAAAATATGAGACACAGAAAATAAGATAAATAAAATAACACTTTTGTATCCTACTGCTTTATGTCTCTTTTATAAGTAATAAACTGAATTTCCAACAATTGTTTTAATGACCGTGTGAACCTTTATACTCTGTCTTGGTTCTAATGCTATATCCTTTTGATAAAGGCTGAAAAAATAAAAATGTTATCGAACTCTTCAATCCTTAACTTTGGCGCGTTTACCTTATATTACCTTAACTGAAATATTACATGAATTTTTATTTAACTAAAATAGGTAGAAAAATTATTCATTTTTTTCATGCTTCCACGAGAAAATAAAAAGAAAAAATATTTTACTTCGATACTTGAATTTCTCTGTCTTTTTCTTATTTTTCAATTCCTACTATTATATATATATAGCTCATACTCTCTCTATATTTATTTATTTATTTCGTGGAATTTTCAATCGTTAATAAAATACACTTTAAAGCACTCCATTGAGCTGAAATTTAATATACATGATTATTTTGAATGACAATACAGTAATTTTTAAATATTAACTAATAGAAATTAATTGATTAAAACTAATTATTTAAAGAATTACAAATACAGCTACGTTGGCATCATTTTTGGCGACTTAGCGACCCTTTTGGCGACTTGTGACAAAACTTGAAAATGTTTCTTTCTCACATTTTAAAGCGCTCGTTTGAGCTGAATTTTTCTATACACTATTGTTTTGCGTAAAAATATGATAATTTAATTATAATTAATTAAAATTAATTTTGACTGAAACTAATTATTTAAAGAACTACAGATACAGCACGTTGGTTTCATTTTTAACTATTTCGGTCAAAACTTTAAAAGATTTTTTTCCTCACGTTTTAAAGCATTCAGTTGAACTAAAATTTTATAGACACGATTGTTTTGCATGACAAAACGATATTTTAATGATAATTAATAAAGATTAATTACCACTTAATGTTGTGATTCTGTCCTGTTTGTATACATATTTATATTGTTGTTGACGTGTGTCTATTACTGGGATACATACGAAAGACGCGAGATAGATGAACAGAACATATAACACAACCACAGAGGAATACAGATTTTATTTCAAAGAAAACACAGCCAAGTCTTACTCGTCATTCGAACCCGAACCCACTCGGTTACAAGCCGAGGGACATAGCCACCATACTGGCTGGGCGACTACATCTTTATATTAATTTTAACTATTTAATAAAAAGTAACCAAAATAAAATTTTTCATTGTTGATCTAAGTAGGAATTGACTCAAAACATTTTTTTTGTATTACTTGATTGATTTTATGTTGTTAATGGATGCTATTCAAAAGTACTTAATTTGTTTCACAATTTTATTAAAAAGTATTCCCTTTTCTGCAGAATAGGGTTTATCCCCAAACTAATTTTTTGAAAAACTGATTCACACAATATTTCCTAATACTGGTTTTAGTTGGTTTTCGAATTTTTGTCCAAAAGAAATAGAGCAGGGGGAAATATTTTATTTAATCAATGTAAAATATCAAAAAACGAAATCAAAATATTAAAGTCAAAGTCAAAATATAAAAAATAATTAAGAATTACATATACGTACACAAGTATTACTTATACAAAATAACGAAAACTCAAACAAAAATTTCAATTAACATTTGTATTATTTTCATGAATTTTAATCTCTTCTAAGAAAATACGATTTTAAAAAACATATAATGTCGACTGAACGGTGACTAAGTCTTGTTCTTATTTTGAATACAACATTGCCTGAAATTGAAAATACTCATTCACTGGCTACAGATATTGGTTTAATATAGTTCCCATTGCTACAAACAACAAATCTAAGTTTTCATTCTTTTATTCGTTGCTTCAAATAAGAAAAATTTAGCTTTCAGTGTTTTTGGATTTGTACGTTTTTCTCCAGGTTCATTAAGAAACTTATGGATTGATTCTTCCATGGCTGCTTTTAAAAAAAAGTTTTACTCTGATGTGTAAGTTCTTCGATTTGCTCTTCATTAGAATCTGTTTCCACATAAAAATTTAGGATATATATTCTAGACATCATATTTTCAAATAACTTAACAATTTCTGTTTTTGAAACTAAAAAAAATACACAATATTTCTTCGCTGGAAAAGAATTGTGAAGTGGATTTTGAAAATATATAAACAAAAGAGTTGCTAATTCTACATAATAATATGAATTCTTTGAACCTCTATTTCTTAATTTAAAAACCGGTTTTCTCAAATGGGACAAATATACTTTAAGAACTCGGTTTGAAAAAAACCGTCAAAACCTACTGTAGAAAGAATTATATTTCCTCTAGATTCAGAAAAAAGCTCTTGCTACGGAAACATAAAATTAAAAATATTACAATTATATATCTTACGCCCCTTTTTTAACAAAATGTTGGAAGAAGAATGAGGATATAAATGCACGCAGGTTGGTGATTTCGAAGTTCTGGGTAGCAATGCCACAGTTTAAACAGGCTTAGAAAATTCCCCTTATCAATACTGTTAGAAAACTTTTATATAGCACAATGAATGTATCTATAATGAGTTACACATAGGGCGTGTATACATAGGCATATAATACATAGGGCGTGTTTTATTTTTATTTTTTAACCTTCGATCGAACTGCCATGAAGGTTGGGAAGCGCTGTTTGCAGCTGCGCATATTTCTTACCATATATAGCACTACAAGCACCACCACCCATCCGGTACCGTGGTTAATGACGTTGAGTGCCGTGCCGTTGGGCCAGGGTTCAAATCCCGTAGAAGGTAGGAATGTTTGTAAATGTATAGTGCCTTTGTCGCATGGAGGTACTCTTAATAGCCGTCGACCCACAAATCCTATCGTGAGGTTGGTAGAAAGGAAAGAGAAGTTGGGAGCCCCTGGCCACTCACCACTCTTGAAATTGGGGTGAAATCATGCTGTCACCTGTATGTTGTTCAAAGCTACGGCTTATAACAAGCGTAGGCTTGCCTTTTGAGCTATGAATTTCGTATGCCTAGATCTGACATCGTTAAATAGGTGGTATTAGAAGCAACAACACTACTGTCACCAGATTGACACTTTGAACTGAGCTGTAAATATATGAACACAACATTGAGAACCTTTTCAAACACGAGTTGCGTAGCTGTTTATTGTAGACATTACTGTGTCTGAGAAGAGACTTTCAAACAAAAGTGGCAATGATAGCCAAATGATCATATTTCGGTGGACCATTTGGCTCTATTGCCGTGACCAGCTTTGCCGAAGCTCGGATTCTAAACCTCATGCTACAGAAGACCTACCTTGTAGAAGATTTGGTGCACATTAAGTTTTTTGAAGCTTATGTTTCTCTCGCTGAGGGTATAAGAAGAGAAGGGGGTGTCAGTTCAAGTGTCATCCAAGTCCCTCGGCAGTGGATTAAAACTAGTGAGTTTATCTCCAATGGCACTCGTGTTGCTTCAGAATGCGATGCCAATTTAATCCAATCAAACAAAGGAAGAAGAATATTGACTTCTGAAGTCGATCTCACTCACGACAATACTCGCTCTCACAGAGTTGTTGGAACCCAAAAGTTTTTGGCGCAGTTTAAATGAGAAATTTGCGCTTGATCATCCGCTTACAGCCTCAATTTAGCGCCAAGGGATTTTCATCCTTTTCCTGAGCTGAAGAATATGTTAGTTTCTTGTGTTTCCAGCAAACCATGTTCACTTTCGTTTTCTAATAACATTCTACAGGAATAGTAGCCTAAAATGAATCATAAGCGTGAAAAATAAATTATAACCCTTCTAAACTAGTGTATTTGTGTTGTAAATAAGCTAAGCTCCTACCGGTCGATTTCTGTAGTTAATGGAGTGGAGAAGGAAAGGGGGAGGGGATTCCCTATTTGATAATAAATTATTTTATATATGTATGTGACTAAAAATAGTCATTCTAATTTCAGATAAATAGCAAGAGAAAATAATATTTCAAGTTTTTTCCTGTACTCAGTACATTACTTTGAACAATGGAATATCCGCGAGGTCCACCCTGTTTAACTCAGATCTTCTTTAGTCGTGCTAAATCGGTATTTTAAGCTAGAACACCACCACACCGAACCGAATTATCCCTGCCGAATAATATATAAATAGTCAGTGAAATAGATCATATAATACAGATCATTATAAGAAAGAGTAGATGTCCGTGGACGATATTGCCGCGTTAATTAAGGCCTGAATCATAGTTGCAAAGTCACATTTAAGACACAGGATTACGGAGGAATTTA